TTTTTTTTTTTCAAGAGAAACTTTTCTCCCAAGATTTTAAGGTGGCATCTATTTACAACTTTCTTCAACCTTTTCAATATCAAAATTTTTTTACTAAATATAAAAATGTTAACAATTTAGTAAAACTTTAAAAAGTTTTAATACAAAACTCATTAACTTTGTGTATATTATTTTTTCGGTCACTTTTTTTGTTTTTTACAAACTTTCTCAATAAATTTAGACTCAAATCAAATATTCCTTTAAAGGTTTTGTCTAGAGGTTAGATAATGATCAATTTTTTTAATTTGTGCGCTTAGAGCATAGATTAAGGGATATAATTTATTTATTTTTTTCAATTAATTTATATGAAAAGTATAATTGTTTTGATTTTAAATTAATTGATTAACAAATTAAAATCATCCACGAATCAATAATATTAAAATAAATGTCAATTTTTATAATTTTTTTATATAATTAATTACAAAAAATATATTTATTGCACTTTTAAGACACAATTATATAGACCCTATAATTTCTATACATGCAACAATAAATTAGTGGCTAAAAAAAAAAAAAAGCGAACTCTTTGAAGTTTGAACATATAATTTGGAAATTGTAAGCTCAAACTTAAGCGAAGTATGAGGGATTCTAAAGCAAGAAGAACCATCTCGATCTCACGTAGTGTCTCTTTACCCTATTCACCTGCATAACCTCATATCACTTGAACATATCAGCACTGATCCATTCAATTACTAGCGAATGAAAATCATCTTTTGGTCGTACTCACTCAGAGTAAATATATTGTATGTTTTCTTCAAAGCATATTGTTGGAATAGGCCCAACATCCAAATTGAGCTGTACATAATAGGCCTAGGCAAACATCAGCCCAAAGTGAGGGAACACCAATATAAACATACCTATGTGAACAGCACAATGTGGGCAAATGAGATGCTTACATGTGCAGATACATGTCAGCACTTGGGGCTATAAATACCCCCCAATTACCTCCGAAAAAGGTAATCAATCTCTATACTTCTCTCTCTGCAATTACTCTTTGAAAGTATCTCTCTTTAGAATATCGAGTATTGCTGACTTGAGCGTCGGAGTGTTTTTTCCGAAAAAATATCCTCAGGATTTTCAGGTGTAGAAACAGTTAAGGACTTCAACAATGTTGGACTTCAACAGTGTTGGACTACGAAGCTGTACAAACACATATAGAAGGTGAACCTGTGAATTAAATAGGACAATAGGAGGTGTTGGACATGCTTTGTTTGATACCTTATAGGATGTCTGCTCTGCCCATGACGCTGGAGAGGACATTTGAATGGCTTTACGATCTGATATGGGCTTTGAATTTTCACTTAAATATTGGGCCAACCAGCAAACATGGGCCTTACTAGTCTGTAAGTAATCAACTTGGTCAGTTTTTGTGATTGACCATTTGAGGTTCTGTCAGCCATTTAATTTCAATTGTCAACTAACCGCTGTTGGGAGGATGACCCCAAACCTTTTCTTTTTGTTCATGACACAAAAACCATGAGTTATAAGATTTTATGTCATTTTGTAAATACTTAGTTTTGCAATTAGACAGATTCATAAGATTCTTCCTTATGCACAAAACCAAGTCAAGTTTGATTTTCAAATTTCTATAAAAGTCACCAAATTTAAAAATTTAACTGAGAGTTCATACTAATTAACTTTTGACATTTAAATTTAAGAATCAAAATTAAGATTTAATCTCTATGAAAACTTTTTCTTTCTCGTTTGTTGAAATTAAGAAACTTCTAAAGCACCTAGACACTAACCTCAAAAAAATATTTCATTAAAACCATTAGCAGATTCTTGATATGAGTGAAATTGTGTTCAGTAAAACAAATTCTTGGTTGTCTCAACCGTCAAGAATCTCAATAGAACAGCCCTCAGCCCTTGTCTCTTGATTAAAACAGAGTTGATAAGAAATCTAAATTTCATTCCACCATATATGGAACAAGCCAAAAGCTTTATAATATATATAGTTTTTTATAAATACAAAGCACTCTTAGAAAACCCTAACGAGTTCTTACAAAGAAAATACTCAACTCAGGCCCCTGCGCACCATCTGGGTTTATCATGTAAAAAGATTCAGAGTCCTTCGATCCCACCACCCTCTCAAACCTCGCCCTCATGTACGTTAACTCGCCGTCTGCCGTCTCCTTCTCATTCGGACTCGGAAGAACTCCAGCACCCATCGAAACTCCACGAAGAAGCTGCATCACATGAAGCTCATCTTCCGACATTTGCTTCCTCCTAATTGAGTACCCTGTCTTCCTCCCGTTAACGTACACCGCCCACACAAATTCCTCCAGAACCTTCTTCTTGTGCGTCTTCGTCTCGCTCTCCAGCGCTATCCTCACTATGTCTGACGCCATTTCCTTCTGAAGCGCGCTCGTCAGCATCGGAAGTTCGATCACAAATACCGGTAGGCAATGGGGATCTTCCTGAATTGCTAGAAAGACTCTGCCTTTCCGGTAGCCGAAGATCGTTCCCGTAGTAGCACCGTCCTTCAGTAAAGGTTTCCGAGGACGACCCAACAGAGCAACCATCTTACAGCCTGAGGTTAGCATAGGGAAGAGCTTGAACATACGCAATAGCCCACCACCAGTCGATGATTTTGACATCCTCTGTTTTTCCCCTGAAGCCGGCCGGAGTAAGGACATGATCGCCGGATTCTCCATTTGAAAGTATGGACTAGAGTGAACCGGTGGCATTATTGATTTTAGGCACACAATTCAAAGAAGGAGAGGAAATGTAAGGGGAATGACCAGAGTTAGGAAGGTAGATAGTCACTAATTGGGTTTTATTGTGCTTGGAATCTTTTGAGGTGGGGAACATGGAATTGTTGTAATCCTAATTGCAAGGTATGCAACTTGGATCCCACCTCGAGAGTCGAGACTTTGATGAATTGATGTAGGGTTTATGTGGTTTTGGACTCTCTTCTCTCAATAGCTAGTTTCTGGAGTATGGTTTTTTCAAGATTTGTACCGAGAGTGGAAGTGAAGAGAAAACAACATCAGGTTTAGAGTCTAAAGCTTGATGTGACCAAGTTTAGTGATGAAAAAGAAGGAAGATGGATGGGATTGAAAGTGATAGGATAAGGAAAGATCGGACCACAATTTGTGGGGAAGAAGAAGGGAGAAGAAAAAATGCCCAAAAGACGAAAAAAGGGAGCCTGCTAATGTTGGTTTAGCATGTGCCACTCTGATCATTACATATAACGCATCAACATCACTTGCTTTGTGCTTTTCCTTACAAATTATTGAGGTGCAGCTCATCCCTCCCCCCCCCCCCCTCTCCCAGCACAAATACATTTCCCTCGTTCATAGCATGAAATTTATGCTTTTGCTTCCGCTTGTGAGTGTCTCTCTCTTTTCTCTTTGGCCCCCCTCATTTAAACTCTGCTTTCTTGGTGTCAGTCGACAGATAAAGGCACTTGAACCATTACAACAACTGAAATGCTTTATATGGGTCACGCTCTCAAGGGACAACCCAATTGCCCTCTGTCTGAAGAGTATTCTTTTCGTCACATGCTCCGGTTTTCTTTTTTTTAAGCAATTATTTACATAATAGGAAGTAAATTACTGTTTTTATATAACATAAACAGCTATTTATTATAGATGAACATTTCAAAAGAAAGTGGAAACTGGGAATGATGTGGGTTTGAAGCTACTCTGAGTTTTTTTTTTTTTTTTTTGGAGATGGGGGTTACCAACAAAGTCAATTGAAATGAAAGATTTGATAGCCCTTTGATGAAAACTTTTCCCAACTATCATTCACTTTCTATCATCCCTTTTTCTAGAGCCACTTCGAGTTTACTGACCCATACTAAAATGATTCCACGATGCAAAGTGCTGTGCTTTATCATAATCATTGTGATGGTGATAAGATTTGCCCCATACATGTTCCTCTCTTACATGTTAGAGATCCAATAATAAATTAGGTAAGAAATTGCTGATTTGCATTTTTATATTGCACAAACTGTACATTATTATATCCTTTTTGTTATATAAAATAAATTATTAATTTATCAATTTTAAAATTTTAACAGTGACTTTTAATATATTATATAAGGTCTTGGTTAATGAGATATTTCTAAGACATCTAATAATTTCACATAATATAATATGTGAAACAAACTCAGTTGTTTAGCTTCGGTTTAATAGTTTAAGTTCTCCATTAGTAAAAGATAATAAAGAAATTATAAAACCTACAACCTACAATTGGAATTATAAAAATTATATCACTGATTTTCATTATAAGATCATGATTGAGCCGACTCCTTTTGGATCCCCAATTTATTGAAATATTTAATCTCGACTTTGTGAAAAGGATTTGATGGGCAGAGAAGCAACTTGCTGAAAGGGGAAATGGCAATGATAAGGGTCCCTCTGTTTGAAATAATAGTTTGACACAACTTTAATTTAGGTTTTAGATAAATTTGGCCCCCTACATCTCAAATTTTAATTCCCTCACTGTCAATTTTAATGTATATTTATAAAATATATATAATTTTAATATTACATTATATTATAAATTTATAAAAAGTATGAGTTTTCTAATATACAAGTTTTATACATCATACTTATATAAAAACTTAATCATTCATCTTTATTTTCAATAATTAAAATTTATTATAACTTTTTGAGTGAAAAAAATAATTATATTTAATAAATATAAATAAATCTCAACTAATAAAAAATAAAGGGATAAATAATTGAAATTTTGTATAAATGTAGTGTGTAAAATTTTGTGTGTGAGTGGATCCATACTCATTTATATAAATTATAATTATAATGTGTTATTATATAATTAATTTTTTTATTAAGAGATCCAATTATGATATTTTATATATCCACCTATAAAATGAAATGTATTGATCGTAGATTTAGAATTTTACATGCATTATAAGTATATCATTGTAAAAAAAATAAAAAAAATAAATAAATAAAGAAAAAAAACAGAAAGTACTTCTCTTTAAACAATATCCCAGAAAACATTATACTGGATGGGGAAAAATGAAAATTATTAGTAGTACAGAGAAATAAGGCCATGGAAATTTTTTTTTTTTTAAAAAAAAGAAAGGTCGAGAGAAAAAAATTGAAAACAGTCCAATCTCAGTCAAATTAGATTGGGCTCAATTTAGCCTTCTAGTCCATTTAGAGCCCAAGCGCACTGCTTCTCAACGCCACTCACTGTGATATAAAGCGAGAAATTCTTCAACCAATTCAATGTTTCAATTTTACTACCTATAAAATTTTAATGTTTTAATTTAGGACCTTAGACTTATAATGTTAAGATGTTATGATTTTCACATTTTTCTTGCAATATTGTATCATCATAAAAGAAAAATCAAAGAAACTGACAAGCTTGAAGAACGGACTTATATCATTCTTTTCATTGACAAACTTAACACTTCAATAGGAACAAATGCCTAATTTTTGCAATAAAAACAAATAATAATAATAATAATTATTATTTAAAAATTGGTATAGTTTTTAATTTAACATACTTTTCAATACCTGCTTGATTTAGCTTTTAAAATATAATATAAATGTAGTCGATTTAATCAGTTCTTATATGTTGTATGTATGACTGCATAGTCTGCATTTATAAATTTTTTCATCTTTAATTTCAAGTTAAAAAAATAGTTTTTAATAAATATTATGCAATATGTTAAATAGAGAATATATCAATTAGGTTGCATTTGGAAACTTGAATTTAAATTTAATGGGTGTAATTTAAATACATGTATTTTAAGTATTTATTAAACTACACAGTTTGGTAAATTAAATGGCTTTGAATTTGAAATTGATTTGATGTTAATCACTTCCATTAGTACATTTTTACAAACCCTTGGTAGGCAATTTTAACTACCCATGTTATTACCTCTATTTCTCTCCCATTGTTTTGAAGTACCCTGTCAAAATTCAAAATAAGGTTCTTGTTTCGATTATTACATAGAACAAAATAAAATGGTAATTAATATGTCATATCTCGTATGATTTTAAGCATAACTCAACAAAAACTACCATCACTCTATCATTTCCACATCCTTGTATGAAAATCACTCACCCATTATTTCAGTACTCCTTCACTCACCTCCATTCCACACTATTTTGCCTCCATCGCCATAGCCGCCACCACCCACAATGGCTTCGTATGAACTCTACTACCCCATCACCATTACTCAACGCTAGAAGGACAAGTTTGTGGTCATCATGGATGCTAACAGTAGTGAGAAGTCTCTCATTTCCCTTGACTTGGCCATGCCCACTTTACCCATTCTCAATTCATCAACTCTGATAAAATACCAGTTTACAAAGGTCTTGATATCACCACCAATAAAACCACCCTTTATGAGTGACTTGGTGTCCACCACCACTTGCTCGATGAGTTCAACTCAATCAACACTGGCTTAGATAAATAGAGAAACTTAAACAAGAGGAGAATAAAGTCTAGAGATAAAATATACAATTTTGAATGCGATTGTCAAGGCTTCATCGAAGAGAACCTATCTTATCACAAAGAAAGATGTAGAAAATGAACAAAGAAATTGAAATCCAATGTCAAATTCGTGGGTATGAGAGGGTATTTAAAATACATAAGTCAAAATATGTGTATTTATATTAAAATTTAAATACACTCTTATTATGTAAAAACAAACAATGAATTTGAATTTATAACCCCAAATTCAAATACACTCTTCTCAAACTCACATTACCAAACAAACCAATTCCTGCATAATATAAATATAAAAGCAAACACTCTTATTATGCAAAAATTAGTATAGTTTCTAATTTAACATACTTTTCAATACTACTCAATTTAGCATTTAAAATATAATATAAATATAATTGATTTAACCAACTCCTGTATGCTGTATGTATGATTACATTTTATAAATTTTTTCTTCTTCAATTTCACATTAAAAAATAATAGTTTTTAATAAGTATTGTGCAATATGTTAAATAGAGAATATATCAATTACTGTTTTTACTTAAATCCCAAATCATGGGCCTTTGCCAAAAGCCCAAAACGATAATCTATCCCCCCCAGTTTATTTACCTTACCCGTATTGTTTTGTTTGTATCCAGTATCCACTCAGCAGGACAGAAAGGTGTTGAAAACTTGAAATTGTATATGGCCCACTATTATTTAAGAATAAGGGCTAGGCCCAATAATTTCTGTCACATGATATATAGTATGGTAAATCCACAGTGTTTGGTAGGGCACAAGGCAGAAACACGACGGGTAGCAAGCAAGAGGTTATCAGCTTTTGGAAAAGCATTTTGCTCTCTGCTTTGATAATGTCTGGTCCTCCCCCTAAAGAGGGACAACATTTTGCAGTATTTGGGTCCCCCTCTCCCCACTTCAATAAATTTTTTCTTCAACTCGGGGCAAATGTCTGGATTCCACTTTGAATTTTAGGCCATTTATTAGATTTGTTTTAAGGTTTGAACTGTCCAATTCTGTGTAAAAAAGAAGGCTGTCGGTAAAATTATTTAAATATTTTTAATAAAATTATTTTGCATGTTGATCCATCAAGTCTTTTCATTATCATAGTATGTCTTGAATTTTCTTAATCCCTCGTTTTTAATTTAGCTTTTGCAATAAAAAACTGTACAAAATGCAAAAGAAGCATTTGAATTGGATTAAATATATACAACACAATGTTTGTTATTGGTCTAATACAATGTTTGGACTTTGGAAAATGGAAATGGCACTTCATTAATTAGATAGCTTGTGTCATGTTGGACCACAGGTAGGAGGATGATTCAGATATCAGTAGGATTCTTTGAATGTTTAGGTTTCTTAACTTCAGTTCCTAATCCAATCCTGTTCCTCTTTATTTCAGTGTCATGAATGGGAATAAATTCCTTTGGCATGGCAGCTATAGTAATGAGGAGTCACTGTTCTGAACCTAATGTTCTTTATGAAATTTACATTTATTGCTTTTCTTATCTTTGTCAATTAGCTGGCTATATTGACATTGTTGTCAAGTACTTAATCAGAACCAATACTATCCAAACTTGATTCAGAATACTCAGCCTGAAGTTCAATTCACATTTCTCCCTCTTTTTTTTTTTTGTGACGTGGAGAAGAAGTATATGGTTAGCATTATTCTTGATCTTTCTTTTTCTCCTTTCTTCTGTTAGGTCTCTTCCAAGGGATAACTGAGAAGCTATGTAGCTAGCATCCATAGTTGATTGAAGCAGAAGAAATCAATTTTCAATTTTTTTGTATAACCCTTACCATTCCAAATCGTATTTATTAATTACATGCATAAACTGTTGATGAACATTCTCATAACAGCTACTTGCAACAAAGATCAGGTGGTGCAGATCTTAGATTGCTTATGACTTTGATATTTACTCTGTTGCTGTGTACAAAAACCATTACTTGACACCCCTAAACCATTTCAACAAAATTCTATAATGAAGCTAATGCTATTCATATGTAGAATAGGTACCTAAAACTAAACTCATATGGCATAATTTGGACAAAGTTTGAGATAGACTCACTTTTTGCTCTTTCCAGGCACTTAATTGCTTCTTTTCCTAGCTCACTAGGCAATTGAAGGCAAATCCAATCGAGCAACGAATCCAAGTCCTTTGCAAAGTCTAGTAAGTACCAGTCCAATAGCTTGGGGATGTCAAACTTCCTTGATGAAATTCCTACTGCTGCCTGTAAGTACTCTCTTTTTGCCGCTTCCAATTCGTTCTCTACTTGAGAAGCTGTGTACACCCTCACCTTCATTTGACATGTTAGAAATCAGCAATAGCATTCTAAGAGGAGTTTTAGGGGTATAGGCCTAAAACTAATGGCAGCTAGCTAGGGACCTATTCAGGAATTCAACTTACAGCAGGGGAAGACCAGCTTCCACATGCAAGGGCAAATGTTACCAACGGTTCAGATAACTCCAAGCCAAACATACTCCTTGTTGTCATTTCATCATTTTTGGCACCTTTTGAAAATGTCTGCTGACAAGACAGAGATAAGTAATATGCGAAGGAATATGGTTATCAAGCTGATAGTGAAATGTTTGATCACAGCTTACATATTTTGAATGGTAAGGCAATCTAAGAATGAAATGTTCAATGGTGATTGCATTTAGCAAATGTCCTCCCACATTTATGGTTGCCTGAGTCATAAGAAATTGAACTCAAGAAGTTACTGACTGTTTACAATATTAAGTGGTCAGCAAGCAAAATTAACCTTCAAGAAGAAAAATTCAAGAAACTTGTAGAAGGGAGATAAGGCCAAAGTTGTACCATCAGAAATTGAAATCATTCTGACAGAAGCACAAGTTCACGGATAATTCTTACCTTTTGCATTAATGCAACAACCATCTCTGGACTCTCTGGTACTCCATTTTCTAAGAATGCCTGGATCAAGACAATGTCAAATGATTCATCTAGTACAGAGAAGATGAACTACCAGAAAGAAGGGTTCCTTGCTTACATTCATCATGCAGGAATTATAGATGTTTATCCAGAATGCAAGCTTCTCCTGATGGGAGAGGTTCTTCAAGTTTATAGAGGGAAGTCTTCCAAGGAGACGTCTGAGAATTCAAAATATTGAACCATTATCATCAAGTAATTCTGCCAGATATTTGGATATATCAAAAAGAGGGCTTAGATGTGAATCCAATGTTAGATGACTTACTTCAACCTGTGCAGCAGAAATAAGGAATTTGAAGTTCGATTTAGATTGATTGAGCTAGCATCAATGGCAAACAAATGCTTATATGGACCAATATCTCTCCCTCCAAATTCTGAACAAATACTGTAAGGATCAAGAAACTCTGAATCTTTACTTCTTTCTTGAGACCCTAACATTGAGAGTGTTGGAAAACTTTCTGCACTTGTCCGGCATTTTGTTGAGCTCATTCTTAAGAGAATGCTTGACAAGCATTTTACAATGTCCTCAGAAACTTTGTTTGGACCATCATCTCCTGATAATTGCTCAGCTTGAGTGCCAACATTTCCTGCATCTGCATTATTCTGTTCTCTTCCTTGACATTCTGTCTGCACAATGCACATTGTAAAAGAAGTCATATTCATTCAACTGCAACTAAATCTAACATAGTTTTGTTTCCATAGCATTGTTTGATACCTGTAACTTTTGCTGATCTAAACGCTTCTCTGTTGGTTTATAGTCCATTCTCTTTACTGAACTTCTTACTGGCTGTGCTTTATGTAATGAGGATCCTTTATTGCCCTTTGTTGAATTAGTACAAGAGTGATTCTCCTTTTCTCGCTTGTCATCTACCGAAACCAAATGATGGAGCAGAAATTTCAATGCCAATTTAGTGGGCGCATTTCATCGAGCACAATGTCAACAAAGGATGATTGAAGGAAAGACAACACTTATGACATACCGCCAAAGAGGCGCCGCAAATGCCTTGTCACGGATACATTTCGATCCGTAACCTTGGATTGCTCAGGTTTGGGATTCTTATCAGGGCAAGGATCGTCCAAATCGGCAGAATTCTCCATGTTTCTCTTTGAGGACGAAATGTAGACAGCCTCCTGATACAAGTCCTGTCTAAAATGCACAATCTGTTCTTCAAGACGAACAACCTCCTCTTCCAATACTGCTACTTCTGCTAGAAGCTCCAGTGTCTACAAAACCCAGAAATCACCATTAAAAAAATTTGCGAAATCAAGTGTAATCCTATCAATTCCTCAATTTCCTTCAATCCCCATCTTTCATTCAACATTATTAATTCTAGTGCTGAAGAGAAAAGGCAAAATTTCAATCAAGGAATTCAAGGGTCTAATGAATTACTGACAAGAGGAGGAAGGTAAGGAGGAAGACGAGGTAGAGCTCCCAAAGGTCTGGTAAATGCTCTCTCCAAAGCTCTATGAATGTTCTCCTCATTTCTAAGCTTCTTCTTCAGTTTATCAACCTAACCAATTAAAATTCGAGAGACAAACAGAAGAATATAAGACCATGAAATTCAAAAATCATGCAACTTTACGAGAACCCAAGTGCATACATCTTGTTGCAAAGCCATTTTTCTCTCTTTGGTTGAGGCTCGTCGATTCTTGATCCCTTTTGCAGCAACCACTGCCTTGTTCCCCTGCATATCTGCCTTCACCTTGAAATCCAAAGAGATGAGTAAGGAAATGGAAAATCCAAACGGAATAAAGAGAACTGCTTGAAAAGTTTATTTATGAAACAGAGGATGTGCAAGACCAGGTTGAAATTCAATTCAATTCAGAATTCCACAACTATTGGAGATTTAAACTGAAACCCATCTCGGATTCTAAAAGAAAGAAACTGCGGGAGCTTCGTCATCGGAATTGAAGCCGTACTTTTTCCGGTGAAAACCATTTCCTCATCTTAAGCCATAATTAACATTACCATCTACAGTGGAAACCGTTTTCCAAAATCTTAGAAGTATCTATGAACCAATCACGGGACCCAGTTTAAACGCCGATTAAATTTGGAAAACTGTAATTAGTGATTACTTTTTCATGCTTCCTCTGAGCCTTCACAGTTCTGACTCTGCTACTCATCTTTTTTCAATGCTCTCTTAAATCTGCAAAACCCAATTCAAATCTTCACAAAAAATCAAACACAATAAGCAAGTAAAAACAATTCCAAGCGGAGGATTCGATTCAGACCTTCACAAAAACCAGCAGCATTCCATTACACGCCCATGAACTCCAAATTTCAATGCCTCCCAGTGAGTTAAAATTTAAAACAACAGAACAGAGTTCAGTTTCTCGATCACCGTGAACTAAACCAACAATACCCACATCGCTGGAAGAATCAGCAATCACAAAACAAAGCTCTATACATTCATATCCAAACAAAAGCAGGTGGAGAAATGGAATGTTGTAGTGAATTATTTAAAGCAGAGAAAAGGAACAGAGTATATTTAGGTGAGAGGGTGAATGAAATAGGATTGCCAAAAAGGAAAACGCGCATCTTGGCGTAAGATGGCGCCGTATGCAAACACCACGCAAAAGCAGAAGCACCCCACTCCCCCCTCTCTTCGCGTCATGATGAATCAACGTGCGCACTCGTCCTTTCACGTTTACATTCTTGATTTCTTTTTCCTTGCTGCTGCCAGTTCCACTTATTTTTTTTTTTAGTCTCCCCAGACAGCGTCCCGTTTATGGATCTATCTTTCTCCAAATACCCCTTTATTTCCTTTTAGAATTGTTTGGTGTAGCAGGTTTTGAGTTAGTAATTGTCTAATCTAATACTTAATAATAATAATAATAATAATAATTAGTTTCGAATTATTACACCGATCAGTTCCTCTGTTTCTCTTTTTTTAGTTGGATATGTGAGTCTGTACCATACAATAGACATACTAACCATAACGATTAGATTTGTAATTACTCTAGATTTAGAGTTTAAATTTTGAAGATAATATTTAAAAAATTAAAATTTTATGTGTCAAGTAAATGTGAGATGTATGTTTAAAATTACTTTGAAAAAAATTAGTCTCTAAACACTCGAAAATTTACTTGAGAATATTATGATAATATATTAATATATACCAAACCTTTTTTTTAAAAAAAAAAAGAGGGAAAATTCATTATCTTAACATTTAAATCTCAAACTTCTAATTTAAGATACTCATTCCCACACGTTGAGATATCCCTTAATGATGTATTGAGGCCGAATTGTTGCTCAGGTGGATTGAATTTTTTTAGTTTGGTAAAAAAAAATTTAAAGAAAAAAGAAAAAAAAATTAAAAATGAAGTTAGATTATGCATAAAATGGGAGGATGTATTTGGAAGTAGATGGGCAAATAGAAGGCAAAGGCTGCACAAATCACATGTTTGCCAACTAAACATCTTTTCGTTTTGGGAAAATTTAATTAAAAAAGCCACTAAAGCATTGGCAGGTATGCTCATTTAATGTTATGTTCAAAGTTAAACCTTCTTAATGCTTCCACTCTAGTCGCACTTGGTCCGTGTGGCCCAATAGTTAGAGTCATTGAAAAATGCACATCCCCCTCTCCTGGACGAGTTTTGAATCCGCCCCACAAATCTGTTCAAAAAAATGCTTCCACTCTAGTCTCTATTATTTGTTTAATTATTTAATTTTATCCAAATGCATTTTAAATTTAAATCTATTTCGAATACATTTGGAAATTTTGACCTTAATAGGTATATGCTTGGTATTAGAAGAGAGACATTATAATTAAAGACTCTTTCACAAATCCCGACTCCCAAGTTCTTGGTATATATAGATTTACTTGAAAAATTATTGTTTTTCTGTTATTGAAAGTTACATATAGAGCTAACGTTTTTTCATTAATAAGAAAAATATTTTATAGGTTGCCTTCTCAATTTCATGGGAAAAATGTTTTTTTTTTTAAAAAAAAAAAATTGAAAAAAGTTAGATATATATAAAAATTAACACACATAATTTATAAGTCAAAATCTCATTTATACCTTATTATTATTATTTTTTAC